GAGAAAGCGCGTTTTGGCGGCTGGGCTCTGCAAGAGCCTCACCCTGAGTATCTGACCTGCCCTCGTGTGGAGGTTCTGTGATCTGCTCCTGGAGGCAGCAGGATCAGACACTGGTTAAAAAGTAAATAAGCTAGGCCTGTTTTAGCTCACAAAGTCCAGCCTTTGCTGCTCAAGGAAGCCTGTTGCTTACAGCTGCAGCTTCTGGTAGTAATTCATGATACTCAGTGGAAAGAAAGAACACATCTCTTCAGCGGCTGTTTCAAAATGCAGCAGAGATCATGCCTTATAGCAGCCCTGATTTACTGTAGTATCTCCACTCAGTGTGGCTACCCAAGAGTGGTTTTATCTCCTCTGGACATCGTTAGACCCTATCTAGTACAAAATACAGGATGTAATTAAGTGTTGCCCTTAGAGAGAAGGGACATGAATACATGTTAAGTCAGTTCCTGAACTGGAACAATTCAGCTTGAATTAAATTTAATTTCTTTAACTTTTCCTTATTACTGATTTTTACATTTATACAGTCCTAGTTCCTCATCCTTCTCTCCAAGTATTTTTCAAATGTCATCCTCACCAGTCATTGCTAAGACCTGTTGCACATCCTTAGCACTTTGTAAGCTTGTCTATTGAGAACCCATGCTGGAGCACTTCCTCATGCTTTCTGTGGTTTGTAAGCATTAGATACAGTGAACTACAGAACACAGTATTTCAGGTGTGAATGCACATGCAAGCATATGATCTGCTGCTCATGCTCACACCAGATAACACTGTGTCTTGCACAGTCATACCATCTTCAAGCTTTTCAGACAGGAATAGTTAAAATATCTGTGGTAACACATTTCATTCCATGATTTTCTTTTTTTTTTATATACTTGCTTATTTTCTGGGTAAACAATCTTGATACCTACACATTTATTGTTAGTCTGTTTTAAAAGATAAATGTTAAAATGTCAAAGTCATCCAAGTCCTCCCTTCCAGAGAATGAGCTGGCAGCAACCTCAAGCCCTTTAGCTAAGTGCATTTTTTTTTAACCCCAGCAGTGGGGCTGCTGTGAGCTGACATACCTGTTCACAGAATCAGCAATTAGCACTGTAGAGAACCTTTCCAAAAGAAGGTGTCTGAAGCCCCTAGAATGGACCACCATTAGGTTACCACAGTTAGGACATGCCAGTGTTCATAGCCAACAGCTGCAAGGGAGCCACCAGGGAGGGATTTACCTGGCCTAATGGGCAAAGACTCCTTCACAGCTTGTTTCAGCTGAGGATGTTTTTTTGTACAAATCTACACAAGACCAGCGCTGGGCTTTGGCAAAGTAGACAGCATCAAATTTCTGGAAACGTCTTTGCTGCCAGCACTGCCTTTTGCAGAGCCCTGAAAAGCTGCACTGATCACTGCTACTTCTGCTGCTAAGAGGAGTCCAAGTTTTACTTGCTATAAAGGCTTAGCAGCAGCTCAGAGTAACCTCTGTATTCCTTAATCCAGGAGGCTGCTAAAGTAGCAATCTCACTGTCCAGAACTTCCCACCCTGGTTCTGACTCTGCCCCTGACCAGATGGGGCTGTTTCCACATTTCCACATGTTGCGTTGGTGAGATTCAGTTCCTTCAGTAAAGCCTTGAGCCAGATGCGAGTCCAGTAGTATGCTGAATGCATCTCTAGATTTGTAGTGAGACATCTCTTAATCATTCTTTTGCTGTCTCTCTGAAAGAAAACAACAATCCAGTTTCTAGAAAAATCAAGTGTTCTAGATATTTTTAATATAATTTTTCCTAATATTTTATATTTGAAAATCAAAATTAGAATATCACCTTTGGCTCATTCGGCTTGCACTTGAATCTTTAAATTCCTGAATTGATCCATTTAGATATTTGGAAACTAACCATTGAAACAAATTGAAATACTTTGTTTTTAAAGAATTAAAACATTAACTTCAAGTTACATTTATCTATTTTGCATCACTTTAGGGAAGTAATAGTTTCAGATCCCATCCCTATACATTGTTCTCTCTGGAATTCCATCCTCTCACCGTGAAAAACTCCTCAAATGCATTTCCTCTGCATGGCATGTAATGGGAGTCACATATTCACCATGCATAACTGGAGCTACAGACTGTCCAGGCCATGTGGCCCATAAGAAATAAAGATGGCTGGAAGTCAAATTCATTAAGATAATCAGAAATTTCAATTCTGTGATGGAGTGCAGTCAAATTAATTCAAATAGGAAATGTTGCCCATGTCTGAATTTCCTATTAGTACTTTCAGACTTTCTGTTCTGTGGAAACCTCAATAGTTCAGATTTTTTAAACTATTTGAAGCAAAAAAACAAATGCTGAAATGTCAGCTTTCACATTAGATAGGCATTTCAAATGATGCAAGCTGTATCAGTAATGTTTTATTAGTGGTATATACTGGAATACTAACTGCTCCATTAAATGTTTGTATCTTAAATTTATGCACAATTATTCAGTGGCAAGGGGAAAAATAGAAACTGGTAGTGGTGAAAATATTTTATGCAAATTCATGAGCAGAAAACTAGACAATCATTAGCAATGCAGTCAGAGAAGCAAACTAAGCAATGTAAATTTTGGCTGCATTTGTGGATATTTAACAAATAAAAGACTCATCCGTTTCAATGGATTGGAGTCTTCAACTTTGTCCACCCAAAAGAATTGGAACAGAGCAGTTATCCTATACACATCAATATTTGAAATTCAACATAATTTGTCATGAATGATAAAGAATTACATCATGACACAATGAATTACATCATGAATGATAATGACATAAATCATCAGCATGCACATGCCGACTGTTCTTCAAGACTAAGTCAGTTACAATCATCAGCAGCTATTTGCATTCTGAAGTCAATTCCAGTTTTGATGTTGACCAAGATGTGTTTTGATGCTATCTGCAATTGCCCGTTCTCTGATCCTGAGTTCAGATGACACAGTCTGGCTGCACTCCTAATTTTATCCTCTCTTAGTCTCAAAAACAGACAAGAAGTGTCCAAACCAGTTGCAGGAAATGATCCTAGGACTGTGGTAACTCCTGAACTGTACATAGGAATAGGGAAGGTATTAACTGACTTAAGCCAGAAGGGTGAAAGGGACCCTTCTTGTGATTTAACAATATAAACAAGAAGCTCCAGTCCTCTAGTCTGGACTCTGCCACAGTTTAATTTACTAGTGTAGATATACCTTAAAGGGCTGGGATTTCTTCCTTGTTCTTACTGATAGGATGGCAAGTTCACCTTTCAGAAAGATCAAGCAGGACTTTTGTCCTTCTGAGTCAGATACACAAGGTGTACTGTTCAGGTATCCTTCTCACAGGGTATTAACAACCAAACATCTATCTGCTTTTTTTAAATACACAGTATTCATTATTACTCTTCACGCGAGTAAAGTATGTAGCCTTCAGTACCTGATCAAAATACCTACTCCTGCTGCTGCTGGGAAGCACTCTGTGCAACCTCTGCCTTGTCTTCCCTTCAGAGATCTGTGCTGCGAGTTCGGGACAGAAGACAATGAAAGCTTGCATTACTCTTAGCATATATCTCTTTCACATAGTGAAAAGTGGAACAGTAAAAATTTACCAAAACGAAGAGGACAAAATACATTAGAAATTTTAACTTCCAGTATTAATAACAGGAACCCAGGAAATAAACATGCTGCTTAGTATAATATTACATTCAACACTGAAGGATCTTAAGGAAATCTAGTCTGGCCTCCTGAATATCAGAGCAAAAGGATTTTACAGTAATAACTGCATAAGCATTCTGAAAATATATGTCTTCATAATGATCTGCAATTAGCACTCAAAAATTCCAAGGAAAATACTGGAAAGACTTGTGCACACGCACACAAAAAGGACAATTGAAAGATGTCACCTATTAAGTGATGTGAAAGGTAGTTTAGTTCTTGAATTAGTACTGCATATTCACAACAAATGATTAATTTAATTTTATTTTTAAATAATTACATGCCAAAAACTTCTAGCTGGTATTTTTAGTAGCTATTTTAAAAATCACCTTTTAAAAGAAACAACTGTCTCACATTCAGTCTCTCACCTGAAGTGGCATTTTAATAAACCCCTGGCTCTGTTTTCAATATTTTATTAAATAAGCATGCGTTTAATGGGGAAGTGAGGGGAAATAATCCAGCTCTGTTTATTGATTGGCACCGAGAGCACTGTGGCTAACCTGCACCTGGTTATTTTTGCTTGCAGAGGACATATTCCCTTGCAAATCCTGTGGCATTTGGTATCGAAGCGAGCGGAATCTGCAGGCCCACCTCATGTATTACTGCAGTGGGAGGCAAAGAGAGGGGCCTCAGCTGTCGGAGGAGAATGAAGATAGTGCTCAGCAGATATCCAGCATCTGCCCCTTTCCGCAGTGCACCAAAAGTTTTTCTAATGCAAGAGCTCTGGAAATGCACCTAAATTCTCACAGTGGTAAGTACTGTGTGTTTTCCTGTTTCATCTCCTAGATTTAGCTGTTTGAGGAATTATTCACTATAGACATTTGGTGGATCAGTGTCTCTCCAAATATATGCAAGCATTGGGTGTAGATATTACCAAAATGTCAACAGTTTCTGACCTGTATTCTACACCCAGCACCTCTCTCAGATAACCAGTGTCATTTCACTTACCCACTAATCCTCATTTGAATGCTGTCTCTCTCTTAATGTATGTATACATGCATACAGGCAGCATTTTTTTACTGATGAAGGTATGCTCAGGAATCCAGCCGCAGTTAGATTGCTGCTGCTTGGTCTCTGAGAGATTCAATCAATTACTTCAGGATTCCATCAAGAGAGCAGGTGCTTCTGAAATAAGATCTTGGTGTCCTAAAGTAGGCCTTTTAGGCAGGAGGCTTTGGGGACCAGAGTCCAGAAATCTGTGTACTTTTCCCAGGACTCTTGTTTCATAAAAACTTCTTGTTTCAAAACAATATTGTTTTCCCTCCTTATAAATATAAAATGGGAATAGTATTTTCTTTCTCCATGTTGTTAAAATTATACTACTAGTCCCCACTAGAATGTGGAATTACAAAATTCCTGAGATTAAAAATCTCAGGAATTTTGTAATTCCACATTCTAGGCAGGAACCTTATCTCCCTCCCTGAAGATCCTTTGAGAGTGCTGTTTGAATTCGTTTTGAATTAGGGCTGGAAACATAAGTTACAGGTTTGCAGAACATTCTTCATTGAGGTTTTCAGTAGCAGAGAAAACGTACAAACAAGAAAGACTGCAGTGTCAGGTGTGTTGGCTGGCTGGAGCATAGAGCTGTGTCTGGAAAAAGGCAAGAGCCCTACAGGAGTTCTTGATCCTCCTGGTAAATTGACAGAGTCTAAAGGACACTATTCACAGAAGAAAGCCTTATTCAGCTGCGGTGTAAAAACTCCTGGGGGAATAGGAGGTTACTCTGTGGACATAGTGAAGTAAAAAATGTTCCTCTGGGCAGCCATTACAAATCTAGAAGGTCTCATGTTGCATTGAAGGAGTTTGGTACCTCCCAAAGCAGGACTGGAAGAGTGCTGAGTGAGAAACTTCCTTACATAGATGACACAGACAACACTTAACCATTCATTTAGAGGTCAGATCTCTTTGTGCTTCCAGATCTTAACTTTGAATATCAGGCTATTGTAATTCTCTGTCTCTTGCCTAGCAAATATTTCACTGTTCAGTGAACCAGTGGAACAGTAGAAACAGCTTCAAGAAGAGCAGGTGAATGCAGCCCAGCATCTCTTACAGCCTAGTAATTAAAACCAGATACTCTTGGAAGATAACAAATTAATTTCTCCCCAAGCAGAGGAGAATTCTGAAATCTTAGCCATTGTGTAAAAGAGTTGCTTTGGCTCTTTGCATTTAGTGACATACGATTGGTTTAGGTGTCAAGAGAGTTTTCAGCTGTGAGCTGAGTGACCGTGTCTTCTTGTAATCTAGAGATAAGCATCTGTGTTCCTTGAAAGACACGT